TCTCTGAGTTCTGTATTTAGCAGCTCATAATTTTTTCGAATTTTTTGAAATTCAAAAATCCTATTTCAGGTATATTCGATACCTAATTCCATATTTTACGATTTTACCTTAAAATCATCATTTACAGTTTAAAATCAACTTTTTCCCCGTCAAATTTGCAGCAATTTTAATAATAATTCTGTCGTAATACGCTAAATTATTCGCTTCCTGTTTTTCCTAATATATCTTTATGTCTCAGGAAGCGGACCAAGATGGCGAATAATTAAACTGACCCGAGAAAAAGTTAAAACAACACACGTACAAATAGATTGATATTCAAATAGAAAAGAAGAGAACAGCGACGGAATTGAAAAGTTTCTCTGAATTTTTACTCACCGCTTCTGTTTTCGCTGTCCGCGGGTTTCATTTGGATCGGATGGCGCATCTGAAAGCAAACAGAGCAAACGACCTGGTTATTTATGCAGCGATTCGTAATGATTTCATAGAAATTCATAGGAATGTTTATTCATTTTATTATTATGTTTATTCCAACGCTGTGCAGTCCCCACAAGCTGTAAATAAAGAATTTAAGTTCGAAGATTATGGTAACTATGAGACCAAACACCTTTCGTGTTAACATCATGTTAATACTTCCTTTCAATTCCAGAGAACAGATATTTCATCGCGAGTACAGTGGCAAAACACGTTAACTGTAAGTGAAAAAGCTGTTCATTTTCACTTTACAATGAAGAAACATAAAAATTACTCGGAATTACAGACCAAATCATAATGTAACAAATAAAGAATTTTTGTACTAAATTTATTCTAGATCTGTATCACGTAAAACTAAGACTTTAAATTAAATTTCTGAAAAATTTTGTTTTTCATTTCAATTTCTCAAAAGTCACTTCGTATCGAGTTAGTGATTTCATTTTTTGCAGCAGTAAAGCTTTTACTTAAGATTAAAAATCGTTGCAACCATTGGAGGATCGAAAATAGAATGTTATTTTTATAGGTTATGTGCACTCGTTCTGAACCATCCGTTACATGAAGATACACTAAAGATTCTCATGTCAAGGGTAAAAATGTAACGATAATAAACTGTTCCGTTAACCTGCGATTTAAACTAGCCGATGCTACCGATAAATTTCCCTACTCGTAAGTTTTCCCCTTATTAAAAACAACCCCTTCTCCGTGTTACGGACAAGTTGAACGAAAACACAATAATTCGCGCGCGCGCGATACCAGGAAATTCCCCAGCGCGCATTCTTTCGAGGACAAACGTGGATTCCCTATC